TATGTGCATTTTGTTTATAATTATTTTCCATACATTAAATTGGTATTCGGGTATAATTTTCACTTCCGTTATCACAAACAATAGGAGTGTTCGCTATGCAACTGCCAGTAAGAATTAGCCAGTAACAAAATTCAGAGAATAAGGTATCTTACTCTCCCAAAGAGAGAAACTTACTGAGTTTTGCGCAAACAGGAATTAGCAAACATTTGCAAGCTTCACTGCCAGCTGGCGCCCACGGTTGCATTTCGAGCATAATAAATTTTTAAAATTATTTCAGGTGGAAACCAAAACAGGACCTATACGTATATTTCTTCCTATTTTGACTTTCTTCAACATACGCTTCAATTTCTTTGTGGAAGTCACTGTCGGATTTCCTATATCGACAGTGGTGCCGAGTGCGTTCCGATTACGAATACAGCCTTTTCAGTCGAGTACCTTTCAAATATATGGAATTAATTAAATTAATTGAATAAACGAATATTTACATACTCCTTTCATTAGTAAATCGCAACAAGATAGTTCATTTTTAAATTTAACGAACTCGTTGATTCAAATTAATGTTGACAAAATGCAACCGTGTGCCACAATCCTGCTTGCAAATTCTTACTGGCAAACATTTTCCCAGCACGAATTTGCAACTTCTCCTCCAAATGAAATGTCAAAATTGTGCTCCCTCCTTGCAAGTAACATTTGGTAACAATTGGTACCAACTTGTACAAATTTTTTGCATAGCGAACACTCCTAATAGTATAATGCATGATACAAAAATATAAAGGTTAGAAGAGCACGCCAATATGACTCCAAGTTAGGAGTCATATTAGAGTTTGAAATATGGTGCTTTCTAAGACTTAAAAAAATTAATTCTTTATAATTCTGATTATTAATACACCGTTACTTGTTACTTTTGTTCAACTCCGAATTTATGACACCAAAAGAGTCCGAAATGAGTCAGTCTGATTGACTGGTCTCGTGGTGAAATTAAAAACAGGTGAAGTAATAAAACAGCTTTCTCGCTTTGTTTGCCTAACATTCGGGTATCTTATAGAAATTGTTAACGGCAAATTTTCAAATAAGTGTCAAATCTTTCTTTTCGCTCCAATTATCACACCTGGCACAATTTTGCCATGGACTGGTCTTAGAATCATATTTATGACGAAAGAAAGACTCATTTTAGACTCATAAACTCTGAGCACTCAGAAAATTGTTTAAAGAGTTATTTTTTACTTTTTCTTTGACTGAAAAAAACAAAAGCCAAGTTTGACCAAAAAACTTTAAATTTTGACTGAAAACATATCGGTGAAAAAATAAAAATTATTTATTGCCTTTTTTAAAAAAAAGCATAATAGTACGGTCCCTGAAATATACATTTCCTTCCTAATCAACTTCAACTTAACTTATAGTTTATCTCCTGCACTTATAGTTTCCTGCAGGGTATGTGTTTAGTACAGTACGCTTAACATTTAGTATATCGTCGATGTTTTTGCAAAACCGTCTATCTTACGGCACTAAAATTTTATAGGAGAGCGAAAAAACGGGTTTTCTTTAAAGGTATTGCCTTTATAGGCTGTATTTTCTCTAGCTTTTATTTTACAAATATGTTGTTTTAATAAGATCTTTATGCATAAATCTCGATGCCTAGAATTCAGGCGGTTTTGCATAAACATAGACGATGTAGCTTAAATATAGCATTGGCACATTAAGTTAAACTTTTGGCAAATAAAATTAATTTTTAGGCAAATAAAATGAAACTCTTCTGTAATACAGTTCCTGAACAACTGTTGTTGTTGCAGCGGCTAACTGGTATGTACTTGCTTTATTTAATGTAGTTTCATGGTTAATTTTCTTTGCCTAAAGTTTAAATTTATTTGTCCAAAGTTTAGGTCTATTTGCCAAAAGTTTAACTTAATGTGTCAATGCTATACTTGCACATTGGATTTATCAAAAAAAAAATAAATATTTAACATTACATAAACCAAAGAAATATAGCCACTACTGGTCAAAATAACCTAGGATTGTTCTACAGTAATACATTGAAATAGAAGAAAATTATTATACACATACATATGTATATACATAATGCTTATATTTTTCGCCTTCTACAAAATAGCTTGGACTTCAAAATTATCGCCGACAATGGACATGCACATGAATGGCGTTACACAGTCGTATACACGGAGCGTTTATCGCACTGGCCCTATTGGTTGAATACGGCGAAAGCAGATTATATTGTTACTAAGACTATGCCAGGAGTGGAGCCCGCCATTTATGCGATCGAGTCCAATCACAAGACTTGCTTCTTCAAAGGCACCTATTGTTGTAAGTTCCGATGCACGGCGCTTATAAAAGGTGTCCCATAATTTACGCAAAATTTTCATTAAATAGAAAACACAGTTTGTTTCACAACTTGATGACTTCGTTCGTCATAACTGCCGCATTTGGGGTTTAAAGAACACATTTGTGAATGTCGAAAAACAAATGTGCGTATTTTCAGCTGGCGTCGTAATTGCTCCATATTTTTTTTTTTTTATGTAGGAAAAATTCGTATAGGCGCGTATTTTTCGGTAAACCTGGGGCAATCCTTTCCCCGAAGGGCTATTCCAGACATAAACCTATCATTCATATTTAGAAAAGCAATTGTGAAACAAACTGTGTTTTCTATTTAAGAAATTTTAATGTTGCATAAATTACACGGTGTTACAAAAAAAAAAACGCGAAATGAAACTAGCGATAATCTAATTATTGTATTGATATATGTACATTTTCGAAACATATTGGATTTTTAAAGGACGAAAAGTAGTCAAGCTGTTAATAGATAAGTGCAACATGCAAAATAACGTTAAAAAATTAAACCTCTTTTCAAGTTATACTGGGCCCTAGCTACAACCTACACTAAGTATTGTTTCGGGCGTATTTATTTCGTGATTTTTTTGTAGCACCGTGTTATAGGTACGGTGACCATCCGTTCTGTTTTTTGCAGGACCGTACTGTTTTTCGAAGGTAGGTCCTGCGTAGTTTTCCAAACCTGAAAAACCTCAAAATGTACTGCTTTTTACCAAGTGTCCTGCATTTGTCCCGCATTTTATCCGTTATTTTAAAATTATCGGACAATGGATGGATTTTTTCAAAAAAAAGTGTTTCTTGGTACTTTTCGCAGCTTTTCTTCAATATCTCATGAAAAAATCTCCCAATCAACGTAAGCGACTTACATCTCGAAGGGTATTGATGTGCCTCTTACCAAAATATATAACTTGTGGAGACTTCAATGAAAATTATTAGTGCTACAGGCGACCATTTGCATTTTGTCGTCAAAGTCGAAAAAAGTGAGATTTTCAATCAAATACGCAGTTTTATTTGATTATTTTTTTTCATTAGTTTAAAAATTCGATAAAGAAGATATATCATTACAGTAAACTTTGAGCCAAAGATAATGAAAATCGGATTAGAAATGTAGATGCTATGGAGCGCAACCTGCACAAATTATATATTTTTGTAAAGGGCACTTTGTAACTCGTCGTTTACGTCGATTCATGACGTCGATTTTTGACAAATAACTGCGAAAAGTACCAAAAAAAACAAAAAAAAGAAGGGTATTGTTTTCGTTTTGAATGACTCAAAATTTGCCTATAAAATAATCTTTTAAAGATTTTCACTTTTCGTGTAAGCTATTGTAATTATAATATGTTTTACTATAATTTGATAAATATTCATGTAAAAAAGATTAATATCGATGAAGAAAACGTGATTCATTTTTAAAGTTTAAAATGTATTAAGAATTTAGAATCATAAATACTCTTTTGATATTTTTATACTACGTAAATATATGTAGGCAAATTTTTGAAAAATTGTCCTTCATTTTGAATCCATATTTATGGTCACCGTAGTTATAGGACACATACATATGTACATATGTAGTACATACTATGTATGTATGTATCTGGACATTTGGGAAAACAACTTGAGTTGCATTCGGCTATTTTGCTTTTTAAGCACCGAACTTTTCCTCCAATTTGTGGCGCACGTCTTGATGTCACACAAAATGGATGGAACTCGGTTTTATGCCGCCTGCGAACGGCAAATGGTTTTTATGAGAAACTTTTTTAAGGTAGAAATTCAATCGGATTTTCGGCATGCCTGCCGAGCGACGATTGCTGTTAGAATTTTGTTTTTTAGAGGTTGTTTGGACTATTGATCGTATTAAGCATAGCAATAATCAGTACATTTTTACTGATAATGAAATTTTATTTGAATTACCAGTAAAATCTTAATAATTAAATCTCATTTGCATTACTACTCGAGACGAATTTAAGTAATTATTACAGGTATTTTCAAATTAACCTTCATAATTATTTTACAGTACACTCGACAAGCGAATTTAAATGCACCGCCGCCGGCAAGGACACCTATTGCAGCGAACATATACAGTATCAGTGTCCACCATTTCTGAGTGAAGCCTGTCGTCGCGAATTAGAATATCAGCGCCAAGCAGTTATGCACAATTTGACTGCAATTTTCAGTAAAAACAAATATTCCAACTAACGAATTTCAATTCATTTACGTATTCCATTTATTTCAATCACTTCGAGTTCGGCAAATATTTCAATCTAAACATTTGATTTTAATTTACACTGACTGGAGTGTAAACACATATGTAAATTTAAAATTTTAAAACTCAATAATAAAACTAATTTAATATATTTATGTATTTAGTTTCTATATGAATGTATCTAAAATTTTCAATTAAAATGTTTTCATATGTATATGTTAATACATATGTATGTACGTATATGCATATGGAGATACATGCATACATACATATGTAGCCTACACCGGCCAATGTTTTAAAACTTGTACTCAACAGTTACATATGTATGTATTGTACTGACGATGGGGTATTTCAAAATTCCATGCAATGTGTTGTCGCTACTTTGAACTAATCGTGTTCGTATCTCTTTCAATTAGATTCTAATAATTATAAAAATCTGTGTGCATTTACGATAGAATTGAATAAAGGTACATTAAAACTGTCTAAATTGTTTAAATACATGCAGGTTAATTTGATTAATGTGCATACATACATGCAGATTTATCATATACACAGCGTATCTCATCTCAGCGCATCTCATCTCAGTTTTTGAAGGACAGCTCCAGACAACGTCTTTTAAGTCGCTTAGCAATTGCGCTCCTGGTATGCTTCCTAGCACGCATTTCTTGCAGATCTACATTCGATTGAGAGGCATTTTGCGTAGCATTTTTCTGAAACCATTTGGTGAGTTTTGTCGATTGTGTTGATCTATTTTTCGGAGATCTGCGCGCTAGCGTCCCTGAAAACTGCGTTTGTACGCGTTTGCTGGGCGTACGTTCGTCCAGAGTTGTCTCCGTTGGTGTCAGTTGCGTCGAACCGATAAGATAATTAGTAATTTTATTGTGCTGTGTTAGTTGTTGGCTCCGAGCTGCACTTTGAACGGGCGATATTTCTCCATTAGAATTGATTCGCATCACACTGCCGAAAGCATCATTATTTGTAATTTCAAATATTTCCTCGTCCACCATCGGACCGCTTATTATTTGGGTGGTGGTACTGTTAATGATTTGCTTTTGCTTAGGTTGGTCCTGGTTTTGTACTTGCTGCAGTTGAGCGGCATTAGCAGTGTTTGGTAATGACGGCATCACTGGTTGACTTCGTCTCGTCGCCCTTTTTACTAGTTTGTCGTCTACTGATTTCTTCGATGACTGCTTGTTTTGTGTTTTATTAGTGGCATCTTCGGTATGGGGATCATCAAACATTTTTTCAAGAATATTCAAGCAAGATCGGCCCCGACTCAGCACGACTTTTGGTTTATTTTGTTTGCCGTTGGAATTGTGTGCGTTCTGTTGCTGCATTTGTTTGACCTCGGAGCCAAATATCTTGAAGCCTTTAAAAGACTCAACTCCATCATTTCCATCCGCGGCAGGTTGTTGTGTGCAAGTCAATCCAAGGTCTGTGCTTGCACTAAATATATCAGGTGATTTCCGGTGTATACGTTGCTGTTTAGCTAATAGTTCACCGAATGTGGGCGTTGTAGACAATTCAGCTAATCGCTCGCGGTCTGTTGTAGGACGCTTCAGTGACTTCTTTTGCTTGAGTGCCCGAGTTCTACGACTCTGTGCAGATTGTTGTGACGATAGAGAGCCATCTTCTGTTGAACTGGATAATATAACAATCTGTTGGTTTTTATTATTTGCGTCTGGCGGAGGTACAAATACTACTTCAGAATCAGTAAAACTACTTGGTGTAGGTAATATTTTAGCTTCGGAATTGCGTATGACTTTGATCGGTGTTGGTGGTCTCAAGAAAAGGTTATCTGAATGCGTGTCTGCAATTACTTTTTGGCCACATTGCATATCCTCTGTCGTATCGGAGAATGGAAGTATAGCCGAGTCTGTTACGTTTGATACTTCTTCAGAAGCAGCTATTATTTTTTGTCTTTTTGCATTAGTATATTCATCCTTTCGTACTTTTTCACCAACACCTATTTCCACCTCTTCATGAATATTTTTTCTTTTCTTACCACTGGCAGCTTTTTCCGTTTTCGTTGATTTGGAAACATCTCCTTGTTTGTCTTTGGTACCGGTGCTGCCAGAATTTTGTGCCACTCCTCTTCCCCTTTTCTTCCCTTTTCGAATACTATCTAAGGAAAGAGGCGACGTCATATATTTACTTCTTGAACTATCTGAAGACCGAGTCTGGCGCTGCATGCCTCGGGTATTCCGCGAAGTTGGTGTCTGTAAAATTTCCATTCGTGAATTCGTTTTTGCCCTATTTTTTAATTTTTGAGTACCTTTAACACTTGGCGTCGAAGAACTGAGCGATTTATTGCCACTGTTTCTTTCTTTCTTGGCAGTATTTTTTGAAGAAGCCGCAGACGCTAGGGATACTGAACGGTTCGCCTTACAGGGTGACGCAGAATATTTATCTTTAGTACGGATTATTTTATCACACCTCAGCTGTCTCAATCGCCTTGTAGGAGTTTCGCTTACATCTTGTTTGGACTTAGCGACATTTTGACTAATTTCATTACTTTCCACCTTTTCATTCGCCGCCCTTCTACCACGCTTTTTGGGAGTTTCGCTTACATCTTGTTTGGACTTAGCTACCTTTTCATTTTTAGTATCCGCCTTTTCATTATCCGTCTCCGTATCACGCTTTTTGGGTTGCTTTACTTCACACCGCTTTCTTGGAGAAAGATTTTTCTCGTTTTGAAGATTAGTGTCCTTAGATGACAACTTTTTTTTTGCTTAGAGTCTCTTTATCCGTCTTTGTTTGATCAATCATTCGCCGTCTTGTTGGTTTCAACTCTTTTCCAGTATCGGTTGCTTTTGCTTTCTTGTTACTTCCATTGTAAATGCGCTCCATACGCTTTGATTCCCGACGTTCGATTGTATTAGCTTTGGCCTCATGCGACTTGGGCCGTATATCGACTGGATCATG